GAGTTCTGCGCTTCCGCGCATGCGCAGGATGCATACAGCGCCTGTGCGATCCTCCAGGAGCAGCTGGAGCATCGCACAGAAGCTAGTAAGCATGCGTGTGCCGCGCGCGTGCACGAGGACGCCGCCGGCCCTGTTCCAACCGAACCGGTTGGAACGGGGCGAGAAACCCACCCCTGAAACACATGTGTAGCAGAAAATGTAATAGTAAACAATCCACTATTGAATCTATAATATGTAAATCTAATAGTTAAATTTGTATAATTAATTTTGAAAAGTAAATAATTAACTGTTATATTAATTTACTTTTAAAATGATATGTCAAATGTGACATTGTTTGGCATAGATGAGTCTACTGCATCTTAATCAAGATATATGGAAATGCAGATCAATTAATATGTTTATCCTAGAAATGTGCCCTATTGAACAATAGGATTTCCTGAGTAATCATGTGGATAATTATCTCTCATCTATTTACCAGTGCACTTATCATAGGCATAAATGTCAGCATATACATTTGGTGCACTGCATATGAAACTGAAGGTTTACTGAGGAAACAATATAGCACAATTCTATTACTTCTAGCAACTCGATTTCCCTGAAATGATATTTACTGCTGTTGAAAATATTTGGTTGATCTCCAAGGATTCCAGACACAATTTGCTTTTATGGAAGTTCCTAAGTTTCTTTTGGCAATGCTTAAAATCCAATGTTAAGTTGATGACAAGCATAAGTTTAAGGTTAACTGTCATGTTGTTGACAGTTAGATATAATACCCTTAAAGTTCTAAAAGAAGATGGACAGTGAATTAAAAACAAACATGAATCATAAATTTAAAAAAATTACTCAAGAAAGAAACTAAAGGCAATTGAAAAAAATAAAATTCAGTTTTTGAAGTGAATTTAAACATTTTATCTTATACTAAATGTAAGAATTTCTAACAGTATAGTTGCCTAGCGGTGCTGTGGGCATGGCTCGGTGGGTGTGGCGTGGTGGTCATGTGACCAGGATGGCCAAGTTGACATCCCTTCTTTGCCCTTATGACTTACAAAAAGAAAATATACCAATTATTTCATGCAGGTAATACTTAAATAAGAATAAAAGAAGTACACAAAACACAAAAACACAAAACACTAGTTTTAGCACAAAAACACTACAAAGCAACACAATGCAGAAGCAGCTGTACCTCACACACAAAAGGGCCCCTTGCCACAAGCAGGAAACTTACAGAACCACAAGGAGCTCAAAAAGCAACTTTCACACTTCACACAAAAACAACACAAAAGCAATACAACTGGCTCACAGACAATGCAGAAACTGGCTCCTGCAAACAGATTTAACAGATTTAACAGAGTTGGAATGGATCTTGCAGATCATCTAGTCCAACCCTCTGACCAAGCAGAATTGCAAAAGCACACAAAATGCCACAAGCAGGAAGCTCAGAGTCACAAAAAACTAAAAAACCAACTTTCCCACCTAACAAAAACACAATGTCATTGTGCAACTGTCACACAGTGTAAAAGCACACAAAATATCCCCTGCAACAGCAAGCAGGAAACTCAGTCGCAGAGAACTCACAAAACCAACTATCGCAAGCACAAAATGTCACCTACAGCTTGGTGTGATTTTGTGTTTGTTTAGTGAGTGTGAAATACTACAGAAACACACAAAATCTCAGAAAGCTGCACAAATCTAAAAATACAAAAGCAGCTAAAACTTTATAAATTTTAAATGGCTATTATTTTCTTTAAAAAATTCCTTAAAAAACCCCAAGTAACCTTTTT